GAGGAGCGGCTGAGGGAGCTGGGGGTGTTCAGCCTGAAGAAGAGGAGGCTGAGGGGAGACCTTATTGCTCTCTCCAACTCCCTGAAAGGAGGTTGTAGAGAGGTGGTGGTCGGTCTCTTCTCTCAAGTCACAGGTGACAGGACAAGAGGAAATGGCCTCAAGTTACACCAGAGGAGGTTCGGGCTGGATATTAGAAAAATTTTTTTCACCAAAAGGGTTATCAGACATTGGAATGGGCTGCCCAGGGAAGTGGTTGAGGCACCATCCCTGGAGGTGTTCAAAAGACAGGTTGATGTAGTGCTGGGAGATATGGTTTAGTGATGGTGTTGCTTTTTGTTTGTTGTGCGGGTGTCTATTTTTGTCAAAGTTAGGTTGACGGTTGGACAAGATGACCTTTAAGGTCCCTTCCAACCTAAAAGACTCTGTGATTCAGTCTGCTCCGCGCCCCTAACTGCTAGCTCAGGGGTCTGGGTACTCTGGGAACAACCAACTCTACTACTAAAGACTGAGGCAAAGAAGGCATTAAGTACCTCAGCCTTCTCCTCAGCCTTTGTCACTATCTTACCTCCCACATCCAACAGAGGATGGAGCTTCTCCAGAGTCCTCCTCTTGTTACTAATATATTTATAGAAATTCTTCTTATTGTTCTTAACATCCAAGGCCAGGTTAAGTTCTAGTTGGGCTTTGGCTTTTCTAATCTTTTCCCTACATAGCCTTACAACAGCTTTATAATCTTCCTGAGTGGCCTGTCCCTTTTTCCAAAGGCCATAAACTCTCCTTTCCCCCCCAGCCCTGAGTTGTAACCATATCTCTCTGTTCAGCCAGGCCAGTCTTTTCCCCTGACGGCTTGCTTTACAGCGCACAGGGACGGCCTGCTCCTGCACTTTTAAGACTTCCTCTTTGAAAACCATCCCAGCCTTCCAGGACTTTTTTGCCCTTCAGGGCTGCCTCCCAAGGGACTCTGTCAGGCAGGCTCTTGAAAAGGCCAAAGTCTGCCCTCTGGAAGTTCATGGTGGCAGTCCTGCTGGCTCCCTTCCTGAGAATCAAGAACTCTATCATGTCATGGTTGCTGTGCCCAAGACAGCCTCCAACCTTCACATCCCCGACCAGTCCTTCTCTATTCACAAACAACAGATCCAGCAGTGCCCCCTCCCTGGTCAGCTCCCTCACCAGCTGTGTCAGGAAGAGTTATCCGTGACACACTCCGGGAACCTCCTCGACTGTTTCCTTTCAGCTGTATTGTGTTCCCAGCTGATATCTGGGAGGTTGAAGTCTCCCACTAGGACAAGGGCAAGTGATTTTGAGATCTCTCCCAGCTGCTTATAGAATATTTCATCTATCTTTACATTATGATTGGGTGGTCTATAACAGACTCCCATCATGATATCAGCCTTGCTGGCCCTCCCCCTGATTCTTACCCATAAGCACTCAACCCCACTGTTACCCTCGATTAGCTCTTGACATTCGTAACCCTCCCTAACATGTTCACTGCTGAACCATGACGTGATACAGAGGATGGTTTACCTCCACCCACAGATTCCAGAGTAGCATTCGCTATAGTTTTTCTTCCTACTTATGCAGTATGTCAGCACTACAATTATGAATGTATGACCAGAACAGTAACAGCTTGGCAGGTATGTTCTCTTCTGTCTCAAGAGTACTTACCCATCCTCAGGCCTCTAGTCATGGGCATGCAAGTGTGAGGACAGACTGGGGTGTAATTGTGCTGAACACATCTAGCCAATTGTTAGAATCTTTTCCGACTCTTGGCCAAAGGCTAGATTCTTGTATTTTGATTACGACCTCTGCATTAATGCTGAGCTGCAATAATAAGAGCACGCCAAGGCCAAGCATATAATCCAATTTCCCCAAAGTTCAAACATTAAAAAAAGAAATAGGACTCTGAATTCCTAGATGGAAAGTTTCATTGATCTTATCAAAACCCACCAGAAACAATACATCTTCCTTTCTCCTCTCTTCCTGCTCTTTGCCACAGTCTATGGAATTTTTTCTAGATGACAGGTAAAAGCGTATCTTTTAATAAAGACTCCCTGATCCTAGTACTCAAGACACTGATGATCCACCTCTTTCACTGATAAACTTTTCCAATATTTATTTATCCTTTCTGCTAGGAAACAATATGTATTTTGTAGACTAAAACTGACTAATTTCTAGTTTCAGTGATTGGATCTTACGTCTATTAAGAAGATTGAAAGACTTCTCATTATAGAGATTGTTCACATGGAACATGTGACAAGAGAGCAGGTCAATTCTTGCCTTTCAGGCCTTTTCTTTCCTTTGACAAGCCAAACAAGATCTGACAAGTCCAATGTATTTAAGCAACACACCACCACAACCTCTCTGGCCCTGCAACACCATGTACTAGGCACAGCCAGGCAGCATGTTACTTCAGTCTGCCAGCTGACCGACGGTTTCACAAACACAGACAGGAGTAGCACGGCACGGCAGCAAGCTGTGTGCCATGTAACTTGAGATTCTTCTGAGGACAAGGCTCATGATACAGCACATTCCTTGGGTTCACAGCATACTACATCTCTCGTCATTTGATCCAGTACACTAAAGTAGTATTCTGACATGCAGCTTGTAATAGAAGTGATAATATCTTTTTGAACTTTTAAAGATAGTTATGAAACCAAATAAATACATCTTTTTAGAAACTATTTGGTAAGAGTTTTCTTAGAGTAAGCAGGAACAGCTTAAAAAACTTAGAAATTGATCCTTTATTTTCTTCTTCCTCATTATCCAGAGGAAAAAAGGCATGGAAAAAAACTAGAAGAATTTGATTGGAAAAGCATGTGTCACCTAGAGTGAAAATGCTTCTCATTACTCCTTCCAAGTTCTAAGAGTAATCATGATTAAGATCTCAGAGAAGACAATAACAGAAGTGAAACTTCAATTAATACACAATGATTTAAGGAACGGCCTGCCCAGGGAGGTGGTGGAGTCACCATCCCTGGAGGGATTTAATAAGTGCGTGGACATGGCTCTTCAGGGCATGTTCTAGTGCCCAAGGTTATTGGTTTCTGGGTGGGTGTTGATGTGGTGGGGTGTTGTGTGTGTTGTTGGTTTGTTTGGGATTTTTTTGTCCAGGATGTGGACCTGTTGGAGCAGGCCCAAAGGAGGACCACAAATACGATCAGAGGGCTGGAGCACCTCTCCTCTGTGGGTTGGCTGAGAGAGTTGGGGTTGCTCAGCCTGGAGAAAGCTCACAAGATACCTTATTGTGGTCTTTCAGTACTTAAAGGGGGTCCACAGGAAAGATGGGGACAGATTTTTTTTTTTATAGGACCTATAGTGACAAGACAAGGGGTAATGGTTTTAAACTAAAAGAGGGTAGATTCAAATCAGTTAAGGAAGAGATTGTTTACAGTGATGGTGGTGAAACACTGGAACAGGTTTCCCAGAAAGGTGGTAGATGCCCTGTCCCTAGAAACACTCAACAGGCTCTAGCTGAAGGTGTCCCTGCTCATTGCAGGAATGGTTGGACAGGATGACCTTTAAAGGTCCTTTCCAACCCAAACCATTCTATGATGATTTTTTTTCAAATGTGAAATGGAAACATTGTAGGAAACCTCTAATAACGTCAGCAGCCATCAACCATCTTGACACTTTAAAATGTACCAGGAGCAGAGAGCAAGTTATTTATTCCCTCAAGTCCCCAGGAGAACAACACGAAGAAGAAGCCCTTCTTAGCATAAAGATATAAAGCACTACACTAGATTGCCTCAGAGGACTGTAGACAAGACATCTTTAAAGAGTTAGATAATAAAATGAATGTAGAAGTAGTTAATCCTGCATTGGACAAAAACACAAGCATATTTTATGAAGGAGAAAGCAGTTTTTTTCTAATAAAATTTGAAAAGAAACAACACTTGTTTCAAGATAAAGGACAGTTTCCCTATATCATACACAGCAGGCTTTGGAAAGGAAAAGATTTTCATACTGCAAAGCAGCAAAGACAACCAGTGCTAGAAAGAAGGGTATGCTGAGATCTAAAACACAATTACTAATAACTTTCTAGACTACTACTGAGTTTCATTATAAAATGCACAGTTTTATTACACAAGGTTATCAAGGGCTTGCCTCTTTATAAGTGCACTTAAAAATCAAAGATTTCAGGTATTTTATGCTCAGTATCACACCAATACCTAGTAACAATGCCCCTGATTATTGTTTAATATTTTATATATTGTAAAACACAGATTAAGTAGGTAAAGAGAAAACTACATTTCATTTTAGGCATCTAAAACTCTTCCCATATCTCATAGAGTCAGGGGAAAATATACGGAAGGTAAGTAGACCATCTGCCTCGTAATTCTGTAACAACAAAGTCTTGAGAAGAGAAGTTATCTTGAAAGGCTGTTGCCATAGCCTCACAGGTTGATTTCTAAGAAATCCAAACTCCGTTTCAAAAGAAAGAATATATCTCTTTTCAGTGCTTAACTATACTTACGCCTGGAAAACACTACATTATTTTCAATTGTAAGCACTTTTTTTTTATCCACAGTAGAATATTTAGATATTTGAAAGCTTACTCTCCCATCAATCTGTTTTCCTCTATAGACTCTAATTCCTTCTTTTTTTTCCCTCAATGATCACGTTTTCTAGACCTTTAATAATTATTACATCTCTCTCTGAATTCACTCCCATCAGCCATACCTTTCTTGATGTACTCCCAGTACCTCCGGAGACCAAACCAAACAGCACCCTGCCGCGCTAACCCATCTCCGCAGCCTCTCGCCCCCTTCCTAGTCGGCCTCTCCTGCTCAGTACACCAACACCCCTTGCCGCCCACCTGGCTGCCACCAGGTGCTCGCACCTCCCCACCACCTCGCACAGCCTTTACTTCTCCCCCCACACCGCCTACCCTCATCCCTCACTTCACGTCGCAGCTCCTCCACAAACTACCGCAGTAGGCCAAGGGCGGGCGCAGGCCTCCGACCAACACAGAAGGGCGCAGGATCCAGCCCATCACTCACCCCGTAGCTCTCGGGTCTCGTGCAGACGCCTCCAGCCTCCCCGAGCGGCGAAAGACAGGCCAGCGCCCAGAGCTGGCCGCCCCCTCACCAGGAGCCTCACCGCCCCCTTCCCGCTGCAGCTCAGCCACAAGGAAGCCGCCATCTTGCTCCTGCTCCCCTCCTTACCCTCCCCAGGGCCGGGGCTGCCTCCCTCACTGCCTGAGCAGAAAATAAAGAGACACGCCCCTCACCCCCCCGGCCAGGCCTCCTCAGCGCGGAGGAGTGGCTTCACTGCCGCCCAGCGCCTGCCTGCGCCGGGCACAGCGGCAACTCCTGCCGCAGCACCAGCCGTCAGCGCTCAGCCACTCTCCTGCTCGAGCCTGACCGCCTGTATCGCCACAGATACAAATGCCTACGGCGGACACGCCCGCGCTTCTCCCCTGCCTGCCTGTCTGCCCCCAGGCTGCGCCCGCATCTCGTCTCCAGCTACTCCTACCACCGGCCCTTTCCTGCCCTCCCGGCCCGGTGAGCGGCAGAGGGAGGGTTGGTCTCTATCCCGCCCCAGCAAGTCCGCCTCCGCCTCGCGGCAGGGCCTGCACCGCCCGCTGGGGGTAGGCGAGCGCCCGGCAGGCACCCGCGCGGACCCCAAAAGAAGCACCTGAGAAAGGACCCCTGCGCCCGCCGCCCCACCGACGCCATGGCAGCGGCCGCCAACGACTGCGGCGCCGCGCAGGTAACGAGGGGCCCGGCCCTGAGGCCGCCTGGGCTTCGCAGGGACGCAGGGCTCGGCAGCGGGGCGGGAGCAGCCCACCGGCGGGCGGTGTGGGCTCGCCTAGCGCTCTGGGTTCCCCTCCGGCTGCGAGGGACTCCTGGAGGCCCGGGGCGGGACGGCGAAGCAGCAAGGGCCCCGCCGGCATGCCTGGGCCTGGCCGAGGCCAGCCCTGGTGCTGCCGCCGGCCCTAGGCTCTGCCCGTCGCCTGGCTGAGGGCGTTTCGGGTCAGCAGGTGCTCCAGGGTAGTAGTTCGCAATTGCAGTTGTTGGGAGTATTTTTGTAATTACCTTCGTAGTTACTAATTAGCAGGGAACACAGCACTTCCCAAAAAAGGGGAAGAATCTGCTTAGTCAAAAAAAGGAAAATGGTCTGACATTAGACCATCAAGGATCACTCAGTTTTCGATTTAAGAGATTCTGTAGTATTGGGCTTGGGGAAGAGAACAATGACAACAGCACTTTTTTCTTAATGTTTCAGCAAAGGTGTTGGTACTAAGTAACTACCTGCCTACCTGGTTTTGTATGTGCTACTTACCTTTTGTTTTTGTTCTCTTCATTCTGTGGGTGTGAACAGAATACCTGCCTCTAGTGTGCCTTCCTCCTGCTAAATAAACGTTTCTTGTGGAAATACCCTTTCATGGGCATAAATGACTAAACTGAGCTAATCATTTGTCATTAAAAAACCCAACTATTAAAACTTCTAATTGCTGCAATAAAAAATTTTCAAAACATAACAAAGGCGCACCATAAATGATCAGTTATATTTGGAGGTCTGTACATGGTAATACAGAAGCTAGCTAGTCAAAGAAACCTCATAATGCTTTACACCCATCAGTATGAAATATCAATGGTATGATTTCATCTATGCAGTCTGTGCTTATTTCTGAGGAAAATGTGTGAATTCTGAGCAATTTATGAAAGGGAGAGATATATTTCAGACACTGTTTATTTAATATACTATCTTAAAATATCCATGTTGTAGTTCAGTTTTGCACCTTTTGAAAATTATTACCAAAACCTTTACAAATGTTTGTTTAACAAGTAGCATGTGTCAACCTTGCTTTCCATTCCATTCGAGCCACATTTTCTGGGGTTTTGGGATAGGTGGGTTTGTTGTTTAGTTGTTTTATTTTAAATAATATTAGGTACAGTAATATGAATAAAATAGGAAAAAGCTAATTTGCTTTGAGCAACCACAGTCTTGCAGAATGCAATAATGATTTTTATAAAAGATTTGACTGCTGGAAAATATTCCAAATTTTCAGAGAATGCTTTCAGTCAGTTTCTGTTTAGAAATTTATTAGCAATTTTTCTTTTCAAAAGAATAACGTAATGGATTGAAAAAATTGGTGACTACTTTTAGTTCATGGAAATTTCTGGAATTTTCCTTCATATCTAACAGCATGTAGGACCTTGGGCTAAGATGGTAACAGCATAGCAGTCAAGAAGCTGAATTGTTCTTCTTACCTCTATCAGGAAACTAGTGGGCCAGATCGTGAGTTGTGGATATGAAGGAAGAGATAACCAATGGCCTCTGTACTTCAACTTAAAAATCAAATTTAGAAGTACAGCTAATTGAGATTTGACAAAGAGTAATTGTGTTGAGTTGCCTACTGCCTTCACACATGTTCACTCCCAACTTATTACAGCAAGTACTGTTTTTTAGTTATGGAAAGAACTGTAATTTTTATTAACAGTAATTTTAAACAGGAAATGTTTAAATAGTTTATGATTATAGTCAGTATCCACTGATCCTGGAAAAATACTGTTAAATTCTGAGGACTGCTTCATAATCCTGGCATTTTTCAGAAAAAACAGTGAAATTCCTTGATTATTTTTGTATGTTCTTGATGAAAGTAGCTTCTGAATTTGAACTTCTAAAAATTCTTTTTAATGATCTAAAGTGGTGAAAATCACTCATGAATATGAATTTTGCAGTAAATGTCTAGATTTATCAAACAGGGAAAACAAGAAACAACTGTAGGAGTGTTATAATTTAGGGAGTTTCAGAACTCAATTTCAGAATTTAAATTCTCAGGTGTGGGATGTTTCTGATGGCCTTTAATTTATTTCTTTAATTTATTTTTAGGAAAAGTTACATCCAAGAAATCTTATCCCAGAGCTTTGTCGACTGTTTTATGGTTTAGGCTGGGTAACAGGAACTGGTGGAGGAATCAGCCTGAAACATGGGTAAGTAAATATGGAAAAAAAAGAATGTGATGATTAGAGAGAGAGAGTGGCTTTATTTAGTAGTTGGTGAGGGCATTTCAGTTCCACAAAAAATGTTTGAAAGTCAAGAGCGAGCAATAATGTAGAGGGAGAAATGATCAGTATGCCAGATTTAACCATGTAGAAGGAGGCGGCTAGCCTGAATTAATCATTGCAGTCTCAAGTGACTTTTTTTCCTGTCCTTTTCCTATCTTTAAGGTAGGTACATTGTCTTTAAGAAGCAATGTGTTCTCCCTTTTTCGTTTCATTGACTATGGAATTTAGAGTGGGTTACACCAGACACGTGGCTTTCAAATGCCCATGGTTAGGTGAGGTGAATCCCACCCTAAATATTTTGCAGGCAAAACATTTTCTTTAAGAAGGAAATTACTGTTCTACTGAGATAATTTCTAAGGAGAAGTTCTTAACATGTAATTGAAGCAGGACAGGTAACAGCAAAACAATTTTTGGTGTGTATCCACTACTAAGGAGCGCCACTTTGCTTTTTAATTTGCTGGTCTCCCCCTATTCATGCTTCCCAAGCTTTTAATGGAGACAGAGCTCCTCTCAGTGGCCACTGAAAAAAGAGAAGTCCTCATTCTGCAAAACGCCTTGCACAGTGCCTGCGATGCTGTCCCCAGTCACAGGGTGTTGTGACACTCAAACATGAAAGTGTCTGATATCTCATTTTTCTGATGTACACTTGCATGCAGACACAAGCAGCTATTGCCATTCAAATATATGAAAAATATATATATGAATTAAAGGCTCTAAATGCTAATGTTGTGCTGTTCTAATGGCTTTGAGAAGGTCACTTCACTTCCCTGCTTGATTTTACAAGCAAAGCAACAGCAGTAATAATAATGAGAGGAATGATAAGAGGGTTAATTCTTGTTTTTAAACTTCTTTGTCTCTGGAAACTAATAACTCATCAGTAGCTAAATGTAGCCTATTTTCTTCGTCATTTCAGTGTGATTCATGTTGGTTGTGGCAAGACAAATAGAGAATTCACTAACATAGTAGTACAGTTTTCCTCAGCAGTTCTGTAACTTGGTGTTACAGCAGTTCTATAACTTGGACTGCGCTGAAATACATATTTGAGTTGGTAGCGATGTTGTACCTGGTCTAGGAATAGTAATCTATTAAATAGTAACCTATAAACTATACTGTTTTATAGCTACAGTAACAGTAACTATGATTCAAAATTAATAGCTATGGGGCAGAGATTAGACTAGCTTACAATTGTTACATAGGAAATACTGAAAGAACAACTGAAATTTGATTGAAATTCTAACAAATGGTTTTACAAGCTAATCCTAAGCAGTATTACTCACTGTGCAGTTCATATCAACTACTCAGAATATAAACGCCAACTTGGATGTGGGATAACATATTAAAAATGGATTTAGAACTCTTTGTCAAGTGTTCTATATTTCAAAGGCTGCATTTCATCATCAGATTTTCACTTTGTGATTAATTTTTTAAAAAGAAAAAAAATAGTCTTAAGAAAAAATACGTGTCTTTCACTAGTAACCAAACTACCACTTGATTTCTCGATCATTTGTGCTCTCAATCATCTTGCTCATGCAAAGGAATTAAGACTAAATTAATGCAATGCTGGCAGTGTTAATTCACAAATGTTAAAAATTACAAATATGATAAAGACACATTTCTATATGCTTCACAGCCATTTTACTACTATGAAGAGCTGGAAAATCGTAGAGTCCAACCATAAAGTGCCAAGTTCACCATTAAACCATGTCCCTAAGCGCCACATCTACACATCTCATAAATCCCCCCAGGGATGGTGCCTCAACCCCTTCCCTGGGCAGCCCATTCCAAGGCTTCATAACCCTTTCTGTGGAAACATTTTTCCTAATCTCCAACCTGAACCTCCCCTGGTGCAACTTGAGGCCGTTTCCTCTTGTCCCATGGCCTGTTCCTTGGGAGAAGAGACCGACCCCCCCTGGCTACACCCTCCTTTCAGGGAGTTGGAGAGAGCAAGAAGGTCTCCCCTCAGCCTCCTCTTCTCCAGGCTGAACACCCTCAGCTCCCTCAGCCTCTCCTCACAAGACTTGTGCTCCAGACCCCTCACCAGCTTTGTTGCTTTTCTAAGTGCTCTTGTCCAGAAATATAAACACCTTGTGGTCTTAGGAAATGTATCTGTAACTTGACTAATTATTCACTAGATGTCTCTGTGCTCCTGAATTTAGTGTGTTACTGTTGAAACTGAATAGTGATTACAATTGAGAGAGATAATCTGATACTTTTTTGCTATTTTTGAAAATATTTGAGGTACCATCTTAGAGTAATTTTAATTTAAATCAGCTTTTTTATAATCTTGTAAACCTTGCAATATGTGATGTACTTCTACTTGAATTTCAATCATTCAATTGCATTGAATTAGTGTTATATTTTTATTGATACAAATAAATATGCAAATGCATTAAAAACATGTTTACGTGTTTTTAACATAGTTATAGCAAAACCCAAAATTGTAGAATGCTATAGATAGTTAATATTGTTAATAGGTAGTCTGTGGATTTTGAAGTAATAGTTTTGTCACTGATTTTGTCATAGATGAGTATCCGCTTGCTCCGTTTTTATTCTGAATTCTGGGGATTTGAGTTCGGAATTATTGCAGGGGAAGGCCGTGTGGTTTTCTTTATAGGAGAAGTAAGGCTGCACTTCCTACACGTGTTTCACATCTCTTCTCAAGTTGAAAGCGTGGCTTTGTACCCATGCAAGTCAGAGATTTCATATGGCCAGGTAGGATTAGGTTTCTATTTTAAAAAAAAGTCTACATGTTAATCTATGGAAGGAGAAGGAAAGTTGTTGAACTGTGATGAAATAGATTTGCTATTTCCTTTTCAGTGGACTGAGAGCTCTAATGCCTGTGCAGTTGGAGAACCTTGTGTTTATCAATTTTCCCTGTCTGTAACTTTTCTTAGGAATGAAATCTACATTGCTCCTTCAGGAGTCCAAAAGGAAAGAATACAGGTACGTTGAGCTTTATTTTTGCCTCAGAGCTTGTCTGAGATGGATGAAAGTACCTTTGTTTAGAGTCTCATTTTTCTTTCTGTAAAGTTAGAAACATGTTATACTATTGATTGATTGAAACAGCTGAGAATTTTGCTCAGTGGAGTACTGGGATTTTGCTATGCTAGTGGAGTACATTGGAGTACACACGGAGACACATGGAGTACATCACTATACTACTGAATTACTGACGTCCAACTTTATTCTTTGTCAAGCTTGAATGGCAGAAGTTACTACGGTACATATGTAATGAAGCATTAGCACCTAATCTCTATTTTCATTTGAGTGATTACAAATCTTTGTCTTGATATTCTCAGTAAATAGATAGGCTCTCCCCATGAAAAGGTGACTTTGTCTACCTGTCTCCTTTCCAAGAATATCCCAAGATATAAATGGAGAGGAGAGTGGTAAATGATAACTATTTTATGACAGCAGGAACTCCCCTGGAATAGAATAATATGTGGAAAGGATTTGTTGTTTTATAGTTCTCGGGGTAAATACAACAAGAAGTGAAAGGAATCTCTTTACTGATAGGAACTCAGAGTTTCACAGCAGTGCTCACTAGGGATGTTAGCAAGAAAGGCAGGCAAAAGTGTAACATGGCAAGACTGTTGATGGTCTGTTCTTTGCTAGCAGTAGCAGTGGATTGAGCACAGTGTGTAAGGAGATCTCTCACAGCTGTATTTCCTGCTGATTTTTAAAATAAAATTAAAGAAGGAAGTTTAGTTGCTGCCCTGAATGATTCTTTGTACTATTATGAATAGATGTCAAGGTGACATTCATGTAAAGCTACTAAAAGCAAGGTTTAAAAAAATAGTTCTACAAGTTGAATTAAACCTACATATAATATGTTTATGTCCTTTGTTGGCTCTTTAAGGAGGGAAGGCAAAGTACCTCTGCATTTTTTTAACTGAATCATTTACTGCTTTTCCTTGTGATTTATTGTCTGCTATTTAGATACAGGTTGTCTCCTGAGAAAATTTTAGTTCTACAAATACCTGCTTCACAGCAGTCTGAATTAAAACAGTACCTAATATTAATTCACATTACACAATATTATTAAATAGAATTAGGAGCAACAATAAATGTGGTGCTTTATAGCACTTTTACAAAGTTAAAATCATATTTGATATTAAATATATGGTGTATGTATTTGGCTTCCTAGAAAGAAAACAAAACTATTTGGGTCATCACAGGTCAAAATATTTTTTTCTTTCTTACAGCCAGAAGATATGTTTGTTTGTGACATGAATGAACAGGACATCAGTGGTCCTCCACCACACAAGAAACTAAAGAAAAGCCAGTGCACACCTCTTTTCATGAATGCCTACACCATGAGAGGTGCTTTGCAAATGTTTTTAGTTCAGTGGTGACTGAAACGCTGTATATATACATCCACAAAATTGAAATTCAATACCATATTCTTTATACATGGAAGTTACAGTGAAATTAACATGAAACTATACAATAAATTGATTTGCAAAGGAATATGTACAACGGAAGGTAATCTGTGGTAACATCCTGTGAGTGTCATTTACCTTTTAATCTTTTCATGTAGCTATATCTTTTTGGCACTAATTTTTAGTGCAGTATATTAGTAGGTTGTGGCAGGAGCTGGGGGATTTACAGCAGTTTTACACCAGCGGTTTTGCCTATTCGGTAACTTTGTTTTAGACCTTTTACAACGATTGGCTGTGACCAAAGGTTCTAAATTATGGATAATGAAAAAAAGTATGAAACTTTTCTTTTGCAGGTGGACAGTAATAAAAAACTCTTGCTCTTGTGTAAGATTTACATCTGTTACTTTATAAAGGATTTATTGAGTCTCTTCTAATCTTCCTGCACAAGAAGCTTACATGAGCTGAAGGAATTGGCTGCTGTAGTTACCAAGCCACTCTCCATAATATTTGAAAAGTCATGGCAATCAGGTGAAGTCACTGGTGACTGAGAAAAGGGAAATATTGCACCCATTTTTTAAAAAGGTAGAAAGGGGGACCCTGGGAACTACCGACCTGTCAGCCTCACCTCTGTGCCTGGGAAGATCATGGAACAGATCCTCCTTGAAGCTATGCTAAGGCACACGGAGGACAGGGAGGTGATTTGAGACAGCCAGCAGGGCTTCACCAAGGGAAGGTCCTGCCTGACCACGCTTAGGAAGGAAAAAAAAAAGTACTAGCATAAACAAAAAAGTAGAAGTTTTTAAACTTCTATGTCCTAAATGAGTTTTGGAATTTATTAGAATCTCAGAATTCTGATAAAATTAGTAGTTTTTCAGTCACTGCAGCATGTCAAGAAATGTACAAGTAGTGGTTTTCCTTGAATTTGTGCAAGCAGTTTCTCTCCTTGTATTTGTCACAGAATCACAGGCTGGCATGGGTTGGAAAGGGCCTTCATAGATCATCAAGTCCAACCCCCTGCCAAACCAGGGTCACCTAGAGCAGGTTGGACAGGAATGCATGCAGGCAGGTTTGGAATATCTCCAGAGAAGGAGCCTCCACAACCTCTCTGGGCAGTTCCAATGTTCTGTTACCCTTAAAGTAAAGAAGCTTTTTCTCATGTTGAGATGGGACCCTGGGAACTACTGACATTGTCAGCCTCACCTCTGTGCCTGGGAAGATCATGGAACAGATCCTCCTTGAAGCTATGCTAAGGCACACGGAGGACAGGGAGGTGATTTGAGACAGCCAGCAGGGCTTCACCAAGGGAAGGTCCTGCCTGACCACGCTTAGGAAGGAAAAAAAAAAGTACTAGCATAAACAAAAAAGTAGAAGTTTTTAAACTTCTATGTCCTAAATGAGTTTTGGAATTTATTAGAATCTCAGAATTCTGATAAAATTAGTAGTTTTTCAGTCACTGCAGCATGTCAAGAAATGTACAAGTAGTGGTTTTCCTTGAATTTGTGCAAGCAGTTTCTCTCCTTGTATTTGTCACAGAATCACAGGCTGGCATGGGTTGGAAAGGGCCTTCATAGATCATCAAGTCCAACCCCCTGCCAAACCAGGGTCACCTAGAGCAGGTTGGACAGGAATGCATGCAGGCAGGTTTGGAATATCTCCAGAGAAGGAGCCTCCACAACCTCTCTGGGCAGTTCCAATGTTCTGTTACCCTTAAAGTAAAGAAGCTTTTTCTCATGTTGAGATGGAATTTTTTGTGTTTCTAGCTTGTGCCCGTTGCCCCTTGTCCTGTTGCCACGCACCACTGAAAAGAGTCTGGCCCCATCCTCTTGACCCCCACCCTTTAGATATTTATAAGCATAATGAGATTCCCCTCTCATTGTTCTCTTCTCCAGGGTGAACAGACCCAGGTCTCTCAGCCTTTCCTCATTAGAGGTGCTTCATTCCCTGGATCGTCTTTGTAGCCTTCGCTGGACTCTCTCCAGCAGTTCCCTGTCCTTCTTGAAATGGGGAGCCCAGAACTGGACACAGTGCTCCAGATGGTGCCTCCCCAGGGCAGAGAGGGAGGGTAACCTCCTTTGGCCTGCTGACCATGCTTTTTTTAATGCACCCCAGGAGACCAACGGCCTTCTTGGCCACAGGGGCACATTGCTGGCTCGTGGGCAACTTGTCCACTAGGACTCCCAGGTCTCTCTCTGTAGAGCTGCTTCCCAGCAGGTCAACCCCTAACCTGCACCTGTAACCTTATCACTAACTAAAAATTAACAATAGTGTCCTAAGGCGATCCATGATTATTCTTTATAGTTAAGTAATTATATCATAGCTTTATTTAGGTTTCTGTGTAATTTTTTGGCTAATACAGTGGATCACCACTTGCTAAAACGCCTAGCCAAAGGAAATGAATCAAGCATGTGAATAAAATTTTCCTAATGGACACATTTTAAAATGAATTCTAAAAATAGTTTTTTCTTGTTCATTTTCTCTTCTTAGGGGCAGGCGCTGTGATCCATACTCATTCCAAGGCTGCTGTTATGGCTACCCTTCTTTACCCAGGGAGCGAGTTCAGTATCACCCATCAGGAGATGATAAAAGGAATTTGGAAATGTACTTCAGGAGGATATTACCGGTACATCATTTGTTTTCAGCAATATAAATAGATGACAAGTCATTTGAGTTACATGTGTCAAAGCGTGTCATATAAAGTATTAGGAATGAGAGGGAAGAAGACCTCTGGAATAAACTAGTCATTGGCTTTACCTAGGAAGGTCTCAACCCTATGGAAGGATTTGAGATAAAAACTTGTAACATCAAGGCTACTGTGGTCTGTTGAGCTACAGAAACAAACCAAATAAAGAGCTGTGTCCTGTCAAATGCCTCAAGAACAGAAATGTTACCACATCTATACAATGTTAAACTGGAGCTGGAGCCAACCAACCGTAGGTTGGGTTGATAACATAGAAACTATATTTGGGTGGACTTTGCATATCACTGCCTGTGCTAGTTTAGGCCATGTTAAAAGTGTAGAGGGTTTCAGGTTTTACTTGACAGGCTTTGAAATAAAATTCAGAATAAACAGCTCATTAAAGATAATGTTACTACTTTTCAAGGATGAGCTCTGAGGTAAGTGCCGAGTTATTTCAAATTATATGTGATGGCTTATTTTGAGGACTCTGCCCACAGAGAGTTGAGTTGGGATGTGCAAACAAGATGTATATAATATATGGCAATTAGATGAAAAATTGAAATGCTAAATTCTTTCCACTTTTTGATGTTAATTTTTATAACTATTGCTCTTTGGCAAGAGAGGAAGCCATATGTCTGGGATGCAGTTTTATGCCTGGGCATATTTTACTCAGTTTTGGTTGACTTGCCAGCTTTACCTTCTTGTCAGCATTAGCATTTGTATTCTTAATGTTGCAAAAGAATTGTCTAACAACACTGGTTTTAAAAAAATCCACAACCAATTTCTTTTTTGGTTGTGCATTTTGAATTTTCAAACATTCCTAAATGCTAGTCATGAGACATTATGTTTATTTGGCTCGGTAACTCCAAGTTGTCCCGTGTCCTCCTGTTAATTTACCAGAAAAATTAAAGAAATAAAAGCTCCAGATTACATGGTTCCTAAGTACATATGCTTCCATGCTAGACCGATTCCACTGTTTTGCCTCACACAAGGCTCCCCATTGAACGCAAAAGAAATTTGATAATACAGAGTGGGATCTTTCAAAAAAGGGATCGACAATGTATTGTTTCTAATTACATAAAAACTTTTTCCGGAAGCTATTCAGGAAAATGCTACAGGTAGGATAACCAGAAGTATTTGATGGCCAGTGATGATGAAGTATATGATTCCAGTGATGCCAGAATAGTTTTACCTTTGACTTTAGTAGAAGGAGAACTAGAGCTCTATTAAATAGCTTTGAAAGTCTCAGATTTTCCCAGGTTATTTTATATAAAGATTTGGCTACGTGTAGGCTGCTTGTACTTCAATAAAACTAAAGAGATATCAAGTATTTAACTCATTCAGAATTGTCCTGGGGTTCTATACATACTAGTTCTTGATTAAAAAGCTTCTGGTTATGATTAGGAATTAGTTTTGGTATTTATACCTGCTTCTAAACTCATATCCAAGTAGAAGGCAGAACCTAGGAAACCAATCCCTTAGCTCATTTGGCCTCACTAGTAGCACTCCAAATCTAATTTTAATGATCAGAATATGGAAGAGTCAAAGTAAACCTACAAAAGCCACTTTATTCACTGTTTTTATAGTCCTCCTTGGGAAAGCATCAGCATTGAAAACTGTAAGGGATGGGACTTTTTAATGTTCAGAATATCTGATTTGAAGTACAAGCTGTATTATTTTTACAATTGCTTTCTCTCTGTGTTTTATAAAAAAGAAAGTACTACTAGCATCCACTCATGAAATATCTGTGTGACCTTAATGATAAATGTGAACTGGGGACTTCCTAAATTTAAACAAGTTTCTTCCAGTGTCAATTAAGGTTCAAGCAATGCCAAATATGCCAGTTCTCCTTCACATGAAACTCCAGGCAAGTTCCACTGAGTACCATGCACCATCTTGTCTTTGGAACTGGGGTTCTTAGGCTCTCTTAAGATCAGATATAGCCCACCAATGATTCCAGCACAGAGAATTTATTTTTCATGTGTTAACTCTACTTTCTATTTATATGCATTAGCAGCACAATCTTATTTTCAGGGGCTTTTGGACTACCTACATCTTTTCTGCTCTCCAGCAAACAGCTTCATTTCCTTCTTCATTATGTCATTCTTTGAAGTAATTTGAGACAAAGCTTGTAGGTAATGCCAATGCAGGATGAAGAGAGTCTGAAAAATGTGCAAAGAAACCCAACTAGAGAGTGGTACCGGAACAAACAGCTACACCTAATACATTAAAGTGTTGCTTTCTTTTTGTGCCTCTAGTGTAGCTCAGGAATTGTCAGCATAGCATGTGTTTGGGAGAGATGTTCCTGAGAGTTCTTAATGTTACAGCATTACTCACAAGAGAAGTGTGTAAAATCACTAGTGCTGAGAATTTGTTAACATCTTTACACAGTCAAAGGAGAATCTCTTTCTTAGGGAAAAGCTTCATATATTCAAACACTGCGCTTTTTTAAATGCATGAACATCAAACTTTCTTTTAGATATGATGATACACTAGTGGTTCCCATTATTGAGAACACACCAGAAGAGAAGGATCTCAAGGAGAGAATGGCACATGCAATGGAAAAATACCCAGACTCTTGTGCTGTATTGGTCAGACGTCATGGAGTTTACGTATGGGGAGAAACATGGGAAAAAGCCAAAACAATGTGAGTACAATTTAGGAATGTGGTATCTATTGCTATTGTACTTCAAAATCTTAATGACCTTAATGTCATGTATATTTCCAACCCATGTACAGTAACAATAATTCGTAGCATTAAGTTGTAGCCTCACTGAATGTATTGGGAGCTTTTGGGAATGGGTTCATACGTGATTCCAGCACTTGGTTTTCCTTTTGTATCAATGCTGGCTGATAGGGTTCCTAACATTTTCCTTTCATATAGACAAGGCCCTCCCTATATGAAAGCTCCAGGTAATCTTTGCCTTTATATGACACCTGACAATACTGTTTGTGTAGTCTTCCTTAGTCCCATTTTCGGAATTTACTTCTTTATTTGCTGATGGAAATGCAGCAAATCAGGATCATGTAGCAAAAACGCTGGACGCTTTCCATACCACAGTAATGGAAAGAGGTAATAGAGGTGTCCAGTCAGACCGTCATATTGGTGATGTAAAGCTCAAGGAAGAAAACTATTTTCATAACTTTACATTTGACTTTTTTTCTCCTTTTAATTTTAGGTGTGAGTGTTACGATTACTTGTTTGACATCGCAGTGCAGATGAAGCAGCATGGGCTAGATCCTTCAAAACAGCCAGCAGGAGAAAACGGAATCTTATAAATGACAACAACATTTATATTCAGGTGTGAATTTATCTGTAGAGGTGATCTGTTTGGATGGAGAGACTACAGATGACACCATTACTACTTCAGTCTGCTTTTCCATTCAGGAAACTTCAGTTTTGCACATTGCCCCCACTCCACTCCATTACCACTGCAATTTTATCTATGCTTAAAATGGTGCTCCTTTACCACACAATGCAACGAAAAGATATATATTAATAGTTAAGTATGTCCAGTGCATATTTTAGCACCTATGTACAGCATGGAGTGTAATTGTCTTTAAAAACTAAATTGTATCAAGTGTCACCAGAAAAAGCCAACGGAGAAAAAAGACCCCAGCCTAGTAAGCTAATCTATACAGAGATGCCTGAACACCCACTTTTGTTCTTCGGCTTGCAGGCTCAGGTTTGGTTTCAGTCCATCTCAGTGGTATTACGTATATGGTAGGTTGGTTGTTTATTTTCCTTCAGCAGAAATGGCTGGTTGCAATTTCATTCATTGAAAGTTTCATTGATTAGTGTCACCTGTTTACTTCATACAAGTTACCATGACTTTTGTCATGTGGCAATAATCAATGTCTTGAAAGTTTTCTTGACAAATATTTTAAAGTGAAAGCGCGTAGACAGTATGGCCAGGCAGTACCTTACATGAAGGATCCCTGAACCAATTCTCATGTAAGCAATATACAGCTCGGTTTTGAAAAACAGTCTGGGAACACTTCTCTAGCAAGTTTAAAGATACCAGTACTGGGAATATAAAGGAGTTGCGCAGTCTAAGTGGTGGTCTGATTAAACAGGATAGGCTAACTTGTTGCACAGGGCTGGCCCATCAGATAAGCCTTTCCGCCCACCACATTTGCATCAGAAGAGATGACAGATGCAGCATGAGCGAAGAGCAGACAGGTACTTGGATCGTTAGCCTTTATGCCCACACTAGAGGAGGAAGCAGTGGGACAGGAGGCTTGCTGTCAAGTGAGTCTCTGTGTGAACAGGTATTTGGAGTGCTGCCGCCACATACCGTGGTGCAGACACGGCGGCTGCCACGCTTGCACTGAGCAACCTCGTGGCCCACGAGGAACATTCTAAAATTGCTCCTCCACTTCTGCAGTCAAATAAATGGGGCTAACATAGTGGCATTAACATTCCTTTACCTATTTCTTATGACTATAAAGACCGAGTTTTAGAATATTTTCCCTTTTTATGTTTTTTCTCCTATAGAGGTTTCTTACACGATGGTGGGAGTTCCAGATTCCAGCTGGCGCTGTTAAACCACGAGGGGGTGCTCTTACACTCAGCTGATTGACAGAGGATAGCAGTCGAGTTGTGACTGTTAAACACATCCAAGAGCAAAAGGATAATTTAAAACCAACAATAAATAAGCTGGACAATCACTGCTATTTATGAATCCTCTCAAATGCTACAGAAAGAGCAATGACAATTCAGATGCAAAAAGGGATTTTGAAAAAAGCTATGGAGGATTAATGTGGCATTTGGTTTGCGTGCTTGAAAAATTCACAACCTGCGTTTGTTGATCCTGCTCTACTGCAACATCATTTAACTTGTTCTAGATCTCTATTACTCAAAATTATAGTAGCCTATTTTCTCGAGGAAAAAAATGAGGTCAACCCCCTTGATTGGAAGTAAGGAATAAAGTTTAAATCATGGTTTGAACTGTTGATTCATTCATGACATGTTAATAATTTGTGGTGTTTTTTTTTAATTAAGCTCATAGCATATGTATTTTTGAATTCTCTTGTAGGAAACAATTTTATGTGCCATTATGTGTATTTGGAATTTGTTACTGAGAGGTTGCTCTGAGTCTTGTCTGTTTTTTACCTCTTTAAGTTCATTCGCTTGCAATAATATTTAGTTTATTACAACTTTAAAACAGCTTTTTTGACCTATGATTAGCCAGTAGATTTAATCAAACTGCTTATTAAAATATAGTCTCACATTTGACTTAGTGTCTTCTTTCAAAATCTCCTGGAGTGGCCCCCAAGTGGCATCAGTTTAGGCCTACCCAACATTCAGATGGAGTGTTGAGACTCTAGTCCCAAGGGTGAATTTAGACAAGGCAAGTGTCAATTGACCTCATTTTCTGCTGGGAGCCGTGCCTTCTCACCACTTCCCCTTGCATCATCTCTGGCACTTTTTTTTTGCCACAGAATTAACTCTTTAACTTAAGAGAAAACTACTGCAGGAGTGGGGGTAAGAAAATTATTATATTGTTTTCTAATAAGCCATTGGTAAAACACTGAATTAACTCAGAGTTGGGTCCAAAGAGGACTGGAGCGGGGGCAAAAGAGGAGATGGCTGAAGCCAGAGATGGCAGAGAGTGCTTCCCCCATTTCGTGGGGATGACTATTCAGACTTAGTTGGCTACTTGTGGACAGGCATTCACTGGAGTTGTTCTGAAAAGTTCAGAAGGAACTGAAATCTGTGAAAAGTCAGGAAGAAACTTCTTACATTTTTCACCCATTGACTTTAGTTATGTCAGACTGCTGATTATAGCACAACATATGCCGTTGGTCTCCCTAGTTACTGGTGATTGCCTTGTGCTGAACTTGCACAAAAAACATCCTGCTTTGGCTTGGTGGGTATTCATGTCCCCGTGTATAAGTCTGTCACTGGGCTCTGACAAAACTCATCTGCAGTAAGGCATCGTGCTACCAGCCAAGCACCTGCTGACCTGACCCAACCTGCTAGGTACCAGCTCCTTGTCAGCAGTAAGATGTGGTCACCTGTGCCATAAGCCTGGTGTAGCCACCAGAGTTGCTGCTGTGCTGAGAGTTTGTCAGCAACCAGATCCCTCTTATCTCCACATCCTCATAGCAGCTACAGCCCGTCTTTCTGTGCTGCACAAGAGAGGCTGTTCAGCATCTGCTGTGCTAAACCAGCAGTAGCTGTCATTGAGACCTTAACTGGCGAAGTTACCACTCCACAGGAACAATTCATTATACAACAATTTGCAATCGGAAACCTGCTGAGTGCTCGTCTACTGAGAGAACCTAACTTCAGCTTTCTGGGATGCTTCAAATTTTCGCAATGGGAAGCACCTAAACTTTGATCTCAAATTTTCCTGTCCCTGTCCGTCAGATATCAACTGAAGAGTTGTTAAACTTATATATAAGTTTATATAAGATATGTAATCCAGATAGGCCTCTTTTTTCCCCACTGATGACTGGACTGCAAGGCTCACCAGCATCAACTATGGTAAATTTAATTTAACAAAATCTTTGCCGTTCTATTGTTGCATTAAAGGAATTGCCATGTTTAGTTCTCTTCTGGATTTCCTTGTACATTTTAGGAATACAATAATACCATTGACTGTTTTGTGGTTTGTGCCATTGACTTTATTTCTCCCTTCTCAAACACTTGTGCTACCTGATGACCAAGATCCATAAACAGCAGCGGTGCTGTGCTGAAAGGCTCGCAGGCTTTGTCAAGACTGGTGTCTTCTAACTGTTGGGCGTGTCTGTCCTTCCCCACTGTAGGTGGTGCTGTGCCTGCAGCGTGCGACCTTTAAACCTTAGGGGGAGGGAGACCTTAATTGTTGCGAAATAGGGGTTATCACTAAGTTACTGCAGGTTCTTGACTATATGTTTATTGATACATTTTTTCATTATTAGACACTTGTTTGTCAGTGGCAAATATTTTGCAGTGACTCCATCTCATGTGAGTGTATGTGGATTGCAGTAAGAACTTGGGTGAAAAATGTTATTTTTTAGATCAGACTTTGGACAGGCTGTGTACTCCTCTGCTCCACTTAAGCACAAAACACAGTTTGTAACTATTTTCAAGACTAGAGATGGTACAACTGCCATGAAGGGAAAGCAGATTTTATTTCTATTGGCTTATTTTCACTATGGGCATGCTCATGAAAATACTGCTTGATGTGACAGTCCACTTAGTCTTGAAATCTTGCCATCTATTGACTGCAATCTTCAATTCTGTATTTAAACTGCTAGATTTCTGCAAAAACAGAGTAACTTCCTGTGGTATTCTGGTGATGCTCTCAGAATAGGACATAATTGTATCATTCCGTAGTACTGGTGTTTTGTAAGGATAAAAGATGATTTTACACCTGGTGGTGTTTTGTTCAGCATGTATAATGGCAAACTACAAAAAAACACTCACAAGGAAAGCTATTTTTTGCCAAATATATTATTTTGGGGTCATGTTAATTACAAATATTATCTTCCTCATCTAGCGACAATTTGCCACATCTTTGTAAAATGTGTGGCAAATATCAAATTTCTATAGTAGTAGTAAAGTTCTTTCATATAGGATTCTGAGATGCTCAGAGTCTCATTCAGCAGAATGGAAATGACCTAAATACGCTTTTCTCACGTCTGGGTGTGTGTGAACTCTCAACAAAGAAATCAATGACTTCACAGCTTTGGTGGTTTTATAAACTTGTAAAATTATTACTGGTTCCCAAAGTCTTCAAAAAGCTCTTACAGTTCAGCTCCAACTATGTGGAACAAAAATATGAAAACATCCCATATGATTTAAAGTTTCTAAACTCTCATTTTTAAGTCTAGATCATTTTCTGGTGTGCTAATAAGCCAGCTAGATATTTTTATACATTTGCAGCAAAGAACTGATCTCCGTCAAAGTGAGTTGTCTAGGTTTAGTATTACCAGACAGGCTTATGTAAAAATGACATAATTACGATTTGAAGTGGGTCATCCAAAATATTAAGTTCCAATATTTCCCAATAAAAGTAATTTCCTAGCAAACATCCTACTAGCAAACATCCTGCTTGCCAAATTGGAGGGGTACGGATTTGATGGGTGGACTGTTCAGTGGATAAGGAACTGGCTAGATGGTCGCATCCAGAGGGTGGTACTCAATGGCTCAAAGTCCAGATGGAAACCAGTCACAAGTGGTGTTCCTCAAGGGTCCGTGCTCGTACCGGTGCTGTTTAACATTTTTATCAATGATATAGACAGGGAAATTAAAGGCACCATCAGCAAGTTTGCGGATGATACCAAGCTGTGTGGGGTGGTCGATACGCTAGAGGGACGGGATGTCATCCAAAGGGACCTGGACAGGCTGGAGAGGTGGGCCCAGGTGAACCTCATGAGGTTCAACAAGAGCAAGTGCAAGGTTCTGCACCTGGGCCGGAACAATCCTCGCCACCAATACAAACTGGGGGGTGAGGGATTGGAAAGCAGCCCTGAGGAAAGGGACTTGGGGGGGCTGGTGGACGAGAAGCTGGACATGAGCAGGCAGGGTGCAGCTGCAGCCCAGAAGGCCAATCGCATCCTGGGCTGCATCAAAAGATGCATTGCCAGCAGGTCCAGAGAGGGGATTCTGCCACTTTACTCTGCTCTGGTGAGACCTCACCTGGAGTATTGTGTGCAGGTCTGGAGCCCTCAATATAGGAAGGACATGGACCTGATGGAGAGGGTCCAGAGGAGGGCCACAAGGATGATCAAGGGGATGGAGCACCTCTGCTACCAGGACAGGCTGAGGGAGCTGTGGTTGTTCAGCCTGGAGAAGAGGAGGCTCCGGGGAGACCTAATAGCAGCCTTCCAGTCCCTGAAGGGAGCCTACAGGAAGGCTGGGGAGAACCTGTTTAGAAAGGCCTGTAGTGACAGGACGAGGGGAAATGGCTTCAAGCTGGAAGGTAACAGATTTAGATTGGAGATTAGAAGGGGGTTCTTCACTGGGAGGGTGGTGGAGCACTGGAACAGGTTGCCCAGGGAGGGGGTTGAGGCCCCATCCCTGGAGATATTCAAGGAGAGGCTCGACGAGGCCCTGGGCAACCTGGTCTAGTTGGGGGTGTCCCTGCTGACTGCGGGGAGGTCGGACTAGATGACCCTTGGAGGTCCCTTCCGGCCTGGGAAATTCTATGATTCTATGATTCTATGCTTTCCAAGATGGAAATGAAACTGTAGAATACAGTATCTTGACACATAAGAGATAAAGCTCTAACTTACAGTAGGCAGTTGTGATGCCAATATAGGTCCTCGAGTGAATGCTGTAATGCCTGAGCAACTGTCAGCTTATTTCCTTTAACTCTGAAATCATCATTTAAAAATTAACATCTAAAAAAGCCCACCGAATAGTGGAACAATACAAATAAACCAGTATCCTTTTCTGAATTCCTTTTTACCACACTTTTTGGCAAATATGGCTGTAACAGTTTCTTTGCTGTTTTACAGAAGATGGCAAATTGGCAAGAAAAAAACAACCCCAAACCCGGGGCATTTATGATGGCTTACTTCTATATCAAGAAATAGTTGATACATGGTTTGATATCGATACTTATTTACTTCAAAACTGTTGAAAAACCTCCGAGCTGATACTGGTTAAGGTATCCCTGCTGAAGGGAGTTATCAGTCATGTAATCTACAGATTCATAAACAATACAGAAATTAGGAGAATGCTTCATTTTTGAAGCTACTTTGGATTTGTAGTTCCCTTTTGTTCTAAGGGAAGGTGAACCCTTGCAGACTTTGGTTTTGTTTTCTTTCCCTACATGTAAAGTGAAATAAAAGTTGTGAGTTAGAGACCCAGGCTGTGCCCAAGGACAGCCCTCTGCGCTGAGGTGGACTTCTTTAACAGAGAACATAGAGGTGCCTGTGACTGTGCTTTGCTATAATAAAGTCAGCAAATCTGTATGTTTGGTTTAATTTTAAGCCAACTTAATGTTGCTCCAGAAGAAGGCTACTTGACATGATTTTTAAAAGAGCAAATTTCTAAGTCCCTGAGTCTGAAAAAGAGCTCTCAGGGATTTATTCTTGTACTGCTCAAGGATTTGCTACATAAACAAGATGATAAATAAAATCTCGCTATGTTTTTGGTTGACATCATTAGCACAGGGACCTGTTTCTGCTAAATTTGAATGCTAGTGGTTCAGCATACAGACTGCACCATTGCAAAATTATTTTGGTGATGAAAACTCTAGCAGAACCACAACAGTTGGGTGTTTATTAAAATTTTAATCT